GGAAACCCTGTACAAGGTCGCTATGGGTCAGAACTGACTCGACAGCACTTAACAACAACAACAATATAATTAAAGGGCATGAAGACTATATTTTCTAGAAATATTTATGCATCAGAAGATATTTTATAGAAAGAACAGTTGTTGTTGTTAAGTGCCGTTGAGTACGTTCCAACCCATAGCGACCCTGTATAAGGTTTCCAAGAAGCCACTGGTGAGCTTGAACCACTGACCTTGCAGTTCAAATGACTTTGCAGTCTGGTGCAATAACACACAGCACCACACCAGGACTCCGCAGAAAGAGCAGTAGTTCTTGTGTAATGCTGAATCCTGGTTTGGCACTATAGGATAACCACTGGGCTGCAAAGTTGGTTTGAACCACAAGGTCGATGGTTCAAACCCACCACTCACTCCTTGGAAACCCTATACAGGGTTGCTAAGAGTTGGAACCAATTTGATGGCACTTAACAATGATAACTACCATCTTCCCAAGAATGAAGTCTTAGAATTCAACTTTATTATCTACTTCTAAGAGCCCATGTTGTTGTTGTTGTTATCTGCCATGGAGTCAGTTCCGACTCATAGCGACCCTGTACAGGGTTTCTGAGGCTGTAAATCTTTACCCGGAGCAGAGAGCCTCATCTTTCTCCCATGGAATAGCTGGTAGTTTTGAACTGCTGACTGTGAGATTAGCAGCCTGATTTGTAACCACTATGCTACCATAGTCCTTAAGAATCTGTTAAATATCTATTAAGTCTTCAACATGGCCTTTATTAAATTATCAATTCCTTCAGACAAACGATCAATCATCTTATCATTTGTGCAACTTTCTGTTTGGGTTTGAATGCCAACACTGCGTTCCTGATATGTAACCTAGATAAAGTTACAATATCTCTCAGGCTTTTATTAATCTCAAAAAGATAAATTGAGTGCTCATGTGGCACTGTAGGAAAACACTGGGCCTCAAGGTCATTTGAATTGGAAGTTCAGCAGTTCAAATTCACCAGCTGCTGCTCAAAACCCTATACAGGGTTGCTATGACTCGGAATCAACTCAACAGCACTTAACAGAAACAACTACAAAAGGGAAATAATATTAGAATCTACTTCACAATGTTATTTGTTGTTGTTAGGTGTTGTCAAGTTGGTTCTGACTTATTCAGACCTTATACAGGATTTCCAAGGAGTGACTGGTAGATTTGAACTACAGTTCAAAACAATTAGCATTCTAATATATTATTTAGGTTCAGGTTAAAATAAGATAATGCATGAAAAAATCTACAAAGTATATGGCAAATAGTAAAAAGTTACATATCACTATCCTTTATTATTTTATGCTCAAAATTATGTCAAGTACTTATGAACAATTACTTTGATGAGGATGCTAACTAATATCAAACGAAGTCTAAATAGAAGCTATATTCAGACTTCAATGATTGAGTTTATGATTGGAGAAGACATGAAAACAAGGAAAAGATAAACTGTCCTTTCACTTGGCTTTGCTCGAATGTATAGAGATGGGGATGGAGTGGCTGGGAGCTCCTTGGACTTTCACATGAAAGAGTGTGAAATATCTAAGTGTTAAAACAATGTCTTTTTTGTTTTGTTTTTTCTATTTCAGCATCCGTACAGTCCTGACGTTTTGAGGCAATATGGCGACCTCTCATGCCTACATCACCAGACAAATTATATTTTTAATCAGTTCTTCAATGATGCAATCAAAGCACTACCCGTGGGAATGTTCTCTAAAAGAAACAAAATTAATGTGAAATGTTTTTCAAGCAAATATTTAAAATCCAAATGCAAGCTAGATGCAGTGTTGCACATTAGCTGGGCAACTCAGTAACTCATGACCACCCCATGTGTTACTGAGTAAAACTACTCCATAGTGTTTTCTTGACTAGAATCTTAATCTTAGGTCTTTCTTCATACATCTTTTAAATAGGACTTTTATTTTTCATCATACATTTGGAGATAAAGCTCAAAGTGCAAATCTTCCCCTGAGAGTGGGAAAATATTAACAAATGAGTAGTAAATCAGCTTGCCTTTTATCAAGCGTATAGCCCTGAAAATAACTTTGTATTTTGAATGTGCAAAAGTTTGTTACCATATTTACTATCTATCTGTTTGATATTGTGGAAAGGATTCTGCGCTAAGAGGAAAACCATCTACTACTTACTATGTGGCTTCTCTGAGCCTATTTCATGCTCTAGTAAAAATATATATATTCTACCAACCCATTAAAGTTTTATGAAAATGAAGTAAGATGAAGCTAGAAATAGAGTAAACTGTGAAGTCCATGCAAATGTATTTTGATTGTATTTTCAAAATTGTAAATGGAGCTATTTAGGGTAAAGCCACTTTTACTGAGATAACATCTGGGGCACTGCCTATAGATGAGTTTATTCATGATTTTTGTACTAGCACAGACTATGTAAGATCCATAGAAAGGAGAGATTTTTGTAAACATCCACATCAGAATAATGGCCATAAAATCCTGTTGGTTGCATGAGACCTGCATCTAACTTCAGCTTTGTTTCTTTCCAGATTGTAGGGGAGTAGGTGGTAGGCTATCAGCGTTCCTATAGAGTAGCATATTGCTTCTGGGACTGGGGTGGGGAGGAGCAATGTACTTATGCACTAACATTGGTTTTTTTTATTTGTACTGATATTGATGGGAAAAGAGGCAGGTGAAAATCATTCAACACGATGTTTCCAAAGTCCATCATATGTAAAAGAGGAACTCCAGAATAAATGGTATCCAAATAGACCTATAGTGGTATACACAGCCAGGGTGTTCTGGTGACTCCTAGTAATGAAATGTTTGAGTTTACAATTAGTCCAATGGTCACATGGAACATGGGAACATCCGTCTGCATGACTCTGAGAACAGAAGAACTAGATCGTGCCCAGTTACTACTACCAACTGCTCTAAAAGGGATCACATTAGAAGGTCACAGATAGAATGGGACACAATGTGGAACAAAACTCAAAATTATAAAAAAAAAAAAAAAAAAAAAGACCAGGCTCACTAGGAATAAAGAGACTTGAGAAACCTGAGATTGTGGCCCTGGGCTACCTTTCATGTTTGGAATAGAATTCAGCCTTGTGGCCCAGTTTTCAGCCCAGCAGTATGTATGTATATGGCTAGTGAGATATGCTCACCATGGATGGTCAACCATCCATGATCAAAAGGACAACATTCACTTGGGAAGGCGTGTGATATGTCAACAAGTACCATAGGGAGGAAGTGGGATCCTGTGTTTACAACTATGAAATTAAACAAAGTGTATGATTTGTTGGCTATAAAACTGATGATTTGCTCTGTAAACCTTCATTCAATTCACAATAAAAAGTTTCAAGAAAAAAAAAAACAAAGCTTGGGCCTAGAATCAAGAAATTCCCTATTTTCTGATCTCCTGCCTCCCAAAATTCCCATCTAAGTGTAAGTCTGTGAATGTATATAGCTTGCACACACTTATAGCTGGAAACACAAAACTTAGAATGAAGAAAATGTTCAGTTTAAATGGAAAGAAGTTCATCTTTATGGCTTAACTAATTGTTCTGATGACAATGACTTAGTTCCTCAAGCCATGTTATTATTGATATTAAGTGCCGTAGAGTTAGTTCAAATCATAGTGCCCCTGTGTAGGGTTTCTAAAGAGCAGCTGGTGGTTTGAACTACTGACCTTTTGGTTTGCAGTCCAGTGCTGATCCTACAGCACCACACACACACACAAAATTAATAGCATTTGGTTTGTGGAAGGCTGCAGTCTAAAGTGGCAACTCAAATTCAATTTTGAGTCTTTATATAAATTCAGATGCCATTTGAGTTCTTTATGTTACTTCCCAATACATTCTGAGCAGTAAACTAGCAATGTGACCATGTTTAGAAAAGCCAGGGGCAATTCCAGGGAAGGGCAGTTTGTCCTCAGGTTTACACAAAGAACTAGTGAACTTGCCTGGATATGTCCTTAATAATTCACTGTAAACAGCAAATCATCGATGTTAGCTGTTGATGCTGTTGAGTCAGTTCTGACTCATAGCGACCCTCTATAGAATTTCCAATGAGCAGCTGGTGAGTTTGAACTGCCGACCTTGCTGTTCATACTGACCTTGTGGTCTAGTGCTGATCTTACAGCACCACACCAAATAGCAAATAGTGGTATGTCATCTAATTCAAATTAAAAGAATCCTGGTGACTATGACTTGGGGTCACATGATCATGAGGCATACCTGACTACCACATAGAAATCCCAGAACCCAGTCCACAACCTATTTTAATTTACAATTATGTGCAAGGGTAGATGTAAAAAAAATTTTAAAACAGTTTGCTACTAGAGCTCTAGTTCATACCAGCATTTATTGTTGTTGTTGTTGTTAGGTGCCATCGAGTTGGTACCAACTCATAGCAACCCTATGCACTGCCCGATCCTGGGCCAACCTCACAATTGTTGCCACACTTGAGCCCATTGATGCTGCCACTTTGCCAGTCCATCTCACTGTGGGTATTTCTCTTTTCCTCTGACCCTCCAACTTATGAAACATGGTAGCTTCCTAGAACAACTGATCCCTCCTGACAATATTTCCAAAGAATGAGAGATGAAGTTTGGCCATCCAGGCCTCCAAAGAGCACTCTGGCTGCACTTCTGCCAATACAGATCTGTTGTTTTTTTTGGCAGCCCATGGTACTTTCAATATTCTACTCCAACACCATAACTCAAAAGCATCA